ATTCACTGCAACGACTAATCATATTTTTATTTCCAATAGACAAACAAAGACCAATTATACTATAGATAAACCAGTAGTAAAGTTAGGTACATACTGTCGGTAATAATGACTAAAACTAAAAACTACACATAACATCACGCCTTTTATCCCCGAAGGGGTCGGCAGAGGTGCACATTATGCCACTGTACAATGTAACATCCTCTTTTCACTATTTACGTAATGAGTCCCATGTAATAGGGGAGCCTATTGCCATATACTGGACACAGTTCTAGAATCCGTGCTACTACTGAGATTTTTTTTAAAAACCCATTAATACTTTGCCCGACCCGGGAATCGAACCCGAGACACCTTGCCCGGCAGTCGCACTTGCGACCACTCGGCCAACGAGGCAGTCTACTAAAAACTAATTTAAATTATTTTTTATAATTAACAAGAACTACAGTTATCTGCAATGTCTGTTACTTGCAACCACGAGAACATTAGTAACTGTTATTTAGTATCTGTGTTATAACAATTACTTTACCCGTGCCAATAAATACACCTCACGCTTAGTAACGTGATACAGGGTGGAACATTTTTATTTTATTTAACTTTACGGAATTCTAGGAAGTTGTCAGATTATTATTTTTTCAATGCCTTAAGCAGTTTTACCTTTAATATTTTGATTTTGTTAGTTTTATTTTAGTCACTTAAAAGTAAATGTTGGTTTTTAGTTGCTACGCGCTAATCAGTATAATTTTATTATTGTCACACATCAGTATTAATTTATCCCGAGATTCAACCTAAATGGTGTTTTATTTAAAAGCTAAAAATAGCAATTAGCTTATTGTTAATTTACTTTAATGACAATTGATACCAATCTCAGCTCATGCTCAATTTCATGTGGAAGAAAGAGTTTCAATATCGATATTAATGTAGTTTATGAAAATATATATCCATTTTATTATTTTCATACTTAATATTTGTATATATTTGATTATAAAAAATACTTTTTTATTTTAATTACTAGAATTTTAGAAATACTGCTTTGTGCATTATGCTCTTGACCCAACCATCTAACGCTAGCCTACTCAGGTGTTGGTTGAGGCTCTTAGCAATGAAACCATTGGCAGATACGACGATCGGCACAATAATCGCTGAAACCATATAATTACTCACACTTCAACAAGCGTTAAGTTTATAATACCAAAATATACCAATAAATACTGCATCATCATACTGCTAAGAATTTCAAAATCAATACACTCATATATAACCTAAACCATCGTATCTATACTTAATACAAATAGCCTTCAAAGACAAATGTCACCAAATTCTCAACTTCCGCATTCGATTCGTACAAAAAATCATGGAAAACAAAGGTTCATTTGTTAACTACCCGAACTTTCAAACTTCAGAACTAGGTTATAACTGAGAGACTCCTGTAGTTAGTCACCTCATCAATGATGTGCCATTGATAATTAAATTTAGACTCTATTTCCAAGAACCTAGGTCTTAGTGTGGTTTACAAGAAGTTGTATAGTTAATTATTTAAGGAAATTGATTATTTTAATGCTTCAAGTTGCTTGAAAGACATTTATGATAGCAAATAGACAATTTTACACATAGCGTAGCGTCACGCCTTTTATCCTCGAAGGAGTAGGCAGAGTTGCACATAACAGCACTAAACTTAATGCCACTGTACAATGTAATACCCACTATTCACTATTTATATTATGAGTCCCATGTTATAGGGATGAGCCTATTGCCATATACTAGGCACAATTCCAGATTCCGTGCTATTACTGAGATTTAAAAAAATCCAATAATACTTTGCATGACCCGGGAATGGAACACGAGACCCCTTGCTCGGCAGTCGCACTTGCAACCACTCGACCTGACCAACAAGACCAACCACTGAAATTAAACAAATTATGTCAAAAGTTATATCCATCCCATAAATTAACTTTTTTATTATATTTACCTTTCAAGTTGCGTATACCTTGTGACTGTTGATATAATAGAAAATAAATTATGTATCGCATAGATATGCGTCCCGACACACGACGGGTTAAATACCGTTTAATGAATATTGAATATTACTATTATCTATTTTACATACTCTTTCTAGGCTTCACCCAGTTGTACAGTCTCTTATTTGTGCCTTTGTGCTTAATTCATTCTGTCTCCTGCAGTAATTCACCGAGGGAAGTGGAAACTATCATTTTTTTCTTCTCCTCTTATAATATCTTCTGATTCACTTCGTTGCGGGAACCAAGACGGTTATTCATGTCCCTGGGACATCAGTGTTCCGGTGTTTTCATGCTTGTATCTACCGTAGATCCTGGTTTATAGGAGTTGCAGCGATTTTGGGAGTTTGTGGCGGGCTTTTCCCACTAAAAAACAATACTCTTTCAAAGAATAATAAACTTAATTAGTACATACTATGGTTCCATTCCACACAAAACAACGGATTTACACAAAACAGCAATTAATCTTAAAATCCGCTGACTATTTACACATCAATGTTTAATCTATTGTTGGAAAACTGCCAAACTAAGTAATTTGTATATAAATAATACACAGTTTTAAACATAGATCATTTTATTCGATGTTAATTCACTTATTTTCATACAATTTGCTGTGGTAATGTTTTAATGCGTTTAATGGACTGGGTGTACCGCATTTTCATCGATTTTTGTATCGTCCACAGTTTTGTTGTACAGCGATTTCAATTCCTGAAGGAATCACTGACATTCCCCGCGATTTATCTTATATCAGTTAACCTACAAATCTGATATAGTATTATTTTAACTGTATAAACGATTTATGATAGTAGTTTATGATGGAAATCATGTTAGACATGACATAATAAAACATTACGCCTTTTATCCCCGGAGAGATAGGCAGACTGAGGTGCACATTACGAAACTTAATGCTACTGTACAATGTAATACCCACTTTTCACTATTTATGTTATGAGTCCCATGTAATATGGGGTGAGCCTATTCCCATATACCTGGCACAATGCCAGACTCTGTGCTACTACAGAGATTTTTTTACATTGATACTGTGCCCGACCCGGGCATCGAACCTGAGACCGGTTGCCCGGCAGTCGCACTTACAAACACTCGATCAACGAGGCAGTCATGTTAGAGTCAACTAGAAGTTCATCGGAAGGGATACTATGTTTAAAACCGGATATCCTGGTTTATTTTACTTTGAGTATGTGTTAATAATTACCTATGTCAACTATGAAGTTACCTTCACCAATTTTACCAAACTTCTTCATCTACAGCTACACACGTACACACACAACACACCAGTATCATTTCACACTTTAACAATATATAAAACAAACGCACCATCCATGAACTCGGAACTTCTACTATCTAACTAAATATTATACCAAGTACCTACGTACTATGAATCAAAACTACATAGATCAACATTCCCTAGATGTGGCAAACTTTGAAGTGATCAATGTAAATGAGAACGCTCCGGGAAGCTGTCAAAACACAGAACAGTTAACCGCTTGTATTTGGTGAATTGTAATGAGACTGGAAGTGGTAATAGAAGTGAGTACTAGAGGAAATAATCATGGCTTCATAAAATCTAGTGGGTTTGGAGATCCTTGTTAACCTGTAGTTGGTTAGGTGGAATCAATAATGGTAGGCAATCATAATAAACGATTTACTTAGAAAGTTTCGATTAAGGACAACACTTTTTTAAGGAGTGAAAGACATCAAAATTCAATCGTCTTCTCCCGCCTTGAGTGAGGCGAAAGGGAAGAATCTTAATGAATAAAACCATCCGTACCTACTTCTGCCCTTACGTCAGAGCCCTGGTAACCCGTTAAGTCTTCTAAAAACGTCTAAAATAGAAGTTATGACCAATGGCATACACCAGGTACAATGTCAAAATATCTTACTCAAACCGATAGAAAATCCAAGGCCTCTTGGTCACGACTCCCTCAATTTGACCAATGAACTAGTTTTGTCATAATGAAAGAAAATCTCTTTAAGCATTACATTTTTTTTGTGAACAATTAAAGCAATTATCCACAGGAGCATAGCTCATGTCACTCAAAAAAAAAACAACAAAAGACAATCTGTAACTGAAATGCCTTTGTAAACAAAAACGGACTTTCTGACAAAAGATAAGGACGTACTCTTCAAAAACGTCAGTTTAAAACTTCAAAACATCAAGAGTATCAAAATATGTACATACGTGAAAAAAATACCTGTCGTAGTATAAAAAACTACGCAACGGCAAAGCCTTTGGTACAATTTACACTTTCTCGATCGGATGACGTCAGAGCTGTGTTGGAAGTTAAAAAAAAGTATAAAAAATGCACGTTGATTGGGTCTCGGAGACCTGATACTGAGTTTTGAAGTGTTAACTAGTTTTTTTTAACTGGCAACTTTATTAGTTCAGTGTTTAATGGCCTGTTGCGTCCCATGATAGGAAAAGGAAAAAGATTGATGATACGAAGGTCTGTTCACTAGTTCTATTTTGGAATGTGGACAGTTTCTTTTAATCTATTTCTATTAGTGACTACCTCGGTCGCAAGTGCGACTGCCGGGCCAAGGGTCTCGGGTTCGATTCCCAGGTCGGGAAAATATTAATAGGTTTTGAAAAAAATCTCAGTAGTAGCACAGAGTTTAGAAATATGCCCAGTATATGGCAATAGGCTCACCCCCCTATCACATGGGACTCATGACATAAATAGTGAAAAGTGGGTGTTACATTGTACAGTGGCATTAAGTGCCGTAATGTGCACCTCTGCCTACCCCTTCGGGGATTAAAAGGCGTGATGTTATGTTATGCAGTTATTAGTATCACTAATATCAATGCTCATGGGAACTTAGTGGTCCTTAAGAGATTACTTTCATGCTATAATACTAATGTTTCATATGGTTACTACCGATAAAGTAGCATCATCAAATTCAACAGATATTCCTGCTTTTATAGAATAATTATATCATCAAATTCTAACAATCCGTAATATGTTGTTTCAGATTCACAAATGACAACAAAGAAGTTCTCAGAAGAGCCTGAATTCGAACGTCCAATAGGAAACCACACGTTCTTCTTAGGAAGAGAAGCTGTTCTCGGTTGTGCTGTCACAAACCTTGGTAAACATAAAGTAAGTACACTTTCTGAACATTTAAAGATTAAAACAAAATTGTATTCTAAGTTGTATTTGCACTGAGTATCTATTGCTACAAAAGAAATGAATCAGAGATCGAAAATCCTTACTGTCCTTATCACCATTATCATCCTCAGCCAGTACCTAACTGTTTCATTGCTCAAAGGTTTCTAATTATACGAAGAATTGCGCATCATGTTTTTATAATAACTATCGTGAGACATACTCACGTGAATATACTGAACAAAGCTCTACTAGTTTCGAACCACAGAGGGGTTCTTCCTCATGAACAGCGTGCGCGGTCGCGGCGACTAACGAAACTCGTAGAGCTTTCCTCAGTATATTCACGTGAGTAACCCACGATTATTAGTTAATTGCGCATCAATCACCAGATCTGTTTTGAACTGTAATCAACAATACTAAGCAACATAAGGTTCATTTACGCCGTCATCCAAAAAGTAGCATCATATAGATTATAGATAGTTGGCAGGCCACAACTGTGCGCTTCTCTCGTAGCTTTCTGCCTCTCACAGCAAAACTGTGAAATAATCTGTCGTTGGCAGTATTACCGAAACCGATATAACCTTCAAACCTTCAAGAAAAGACTACTTATATTCTTTTTTAAAAGGCCGTCAACGCACCTGTGACTCCTCTAGTGTTGCAGGTGTCCATGGGCAGCGCTAATATCTTACCATCAGGTGATCCGTTTCCTCGTTAGCCTCCATAATCCATAATAAAAAATCATTCTCGACTGTACGGTTGATGCGGTGGCTGGGCAACCGGCTGCCGTGCAACGTGTCGCGGGTTCGATTCCCGTACGGAAAAACACTTTGTGTGATCCGCAAATTGTTGTTTCGGGTCTGGGTGTCATGTGTATGTGAACTTGTATGTTTGTAAACGCATCCACGACACAGGAGATAATCCTAGTGTGGGGCAATTGGGCTCGCTGCCATTGCAGCGGTAAGTCCCCTCTTTGAGGAGTGGCTTGAGAGACGCTACGGCGTCCTCACCTACCGCCTGACGCAGGTCCTCACCGGACATGGAAGTTTCGGAAGGTACCTGTGTCTGATGGGGCGGGAGGAAACGCCCGGGTGTCATCACTGCGAGGACCGCCCTGAGGACACGGTGGAACACACCGTAGCGGAATGCCCTGCGTGGGCTGAGCACCGCCGTGCCCTCAGGGAAGTGATCGGCGATGGCGACCTCTCGCGTCCGGGCCTAGTGCAGGCCATGATGCGGAGCGAGGGGGACTGGGATGCCGTCTCCTCCTTTTGCGAAGCAGTCATGCTAGCTAAGGAGGAGGCGGGACGCGTGAGGCAGCGAAGCGCTGCCTCCTCGCGACCCAGCCATCGCGAAGGACACACCGGGCGTCGGGGATCGCGGGACGATCTCCGGCCACCGTAAGCGCGGGCCTGCGGACGGCGAGCATGGGTGGCTCCCCGTCCGACCAGAAACAGACCCGAGCGTACGGCGCGTCGCGTTCCGCGCGCGCCTCAAAGAGCCATCAGACCACCACAGATGGGGCCCAATAGGGCCGATGCCGATTCGGAGTCGCGGAGAACCTAACGGGTAACCGGGGCTCCGGCTCGACGTGCAGGAGAAGGAACGGGGTGGTTTTTAGTCAGTAAGAGTCTGACACTCCCTTCCGCCTCACCCAGGCGGGAGCAGTCATTCGATGATTTTCCCCCCTTAAAAAAAAAAAAAAAAGTGTGGGGCAATGTTAAAAAAAAATGTAATAACTTTACCCCAAATACGGAAAGTAATAAACAGCTCCATAACCATATAGGTGCCTTAATGATTAAAGTTTCTAGTTTTCAATGCAAACGCGTTCGTTAATGTGGGTTTATCACGATATACGTTAACCCAAGCTGGTGTTATCATTATCACAGGTCGGATAATGGATTTTAATTTTAAAATGATTGCTATGTCCGTGTTTTTGATTGAAATCATTGTAATGAGAGATCGGGGATGATTAATCTGAAATCTTGTGTGTTGTAATAATTTTACTACCTGTAAATTAATATTTTCTTATTTGAAGGGATTTTCCGAGTACTTTCTAAGATTATCTTGACACCATTGACAAACAATGAAGGAAAACATCATGAGGAAATCTGGTCTTTATAATTTCTAATTATAAGTTTAAAAATGCCAACTTGCATTGAGCAATCATGGTTATTAATATTAACACGTTCAGACCGGCGTGTACCACCGGTGGTACACCTCGCCGTGGCAGCAAATACTCCGTGCTCCACTGGTGGTACACGCCGGTCTGAACGTGTTAAGACCCTCTCCGTGTGAGAAGAGGCCTTTGGTCAGCAGAGACCATTATTTATTATAGACTGTTATGTTGATGCGTGTGCTGTGATGTGGAGGTATTTTATCAGTCTTTTCAGTCGGCCTGATAGTATAAGACTGATAGAATATCTTGCATATCAAGATGAGTTCTTCTTGTATACTATTAAGTAATCTCATCATACATCTTGAATATTACATAACACAACATCACGCCTTTTATCCCCGAAGGGGTGCCTACCCCTGCACATTACGCCACTGTGCAATGTAACACCCACTTTTCACTATTTATGTTATGAGTCCCATGTAATAGGGATAGCCTATTGCCATATACCGGGCACAATTCCAGACTCCCAGTAATACTTTGCCCGACCCGAGACCGCTTGCACAGCAGTCGCACTTGCGACCACTCGGCCAACGAGGCATCAAACATCTATAACTGATATTTCACTTTATATGCTTGGTTTACCTACAAACAGTGCTGGTATTGTGTGTTTCAGCCTTTTAGGTCCAAACAAAAGACTATCTAGACCGATGACCTTGATATTGTGTCTTTTATCTAACCTGTCGGTTGAGTTCTAGTATCGATGATCAAGGTCTGCCATCAACAACAATATAATAGATACTAGTTCTTTTATTTACTGAAAAGGGTTTGGTGGAGGTGTAATTAGAGGGTATCTGGTTAATATGATATTGGGTTTAAGCAGTTAATAATTCAGAGTCGCGGAGAACCTAACGGGTTACTGGGGCTCCGGCTCGACGAGCAGGAGAAAGAACGGGGTGGATTTTAGTCAGTAAGAGTCTGACACTCCCTCCCGCCTCACACAGGCGGAAGCAGTTATTCGATGATTTTCCCCCTTAAAAAAAGCAGGTAATAATAGATAAGAGTTTTTGCGACAACCAGTAATCTTAAGATTTTTATGGGATAAGCCAATAAACGAAAAGACGAATCACCGGATGGTAAGCAGCTATCGGCGTCACCCATGGACATCTGGAACAACAGAGGCGTTACAAGTGTGTTACCAGGTTTTTGGGAATAGGTATTTGAGGATTGTTGGGGATTCAGGGATTGGGCCTCCGGTAACCTCACTCATACGACGAAACACAACGCAAGCGATGTTTCACGTCGGTTTTCTGTGAGGCCGAGTTGTCACTCCAGTCTAGCCTGCCCATTCGTGCCGAAGCATAGGTCTCTCACACTTATACATGGTTTGTTCGAATACTGATATCCTCAAATATGAAATCGTAGGAACCAATGTTCTTTCTTTCTTATTGTTTACATTCAGTTCGTATAAGAAGTCTCGTGGTTGGTACAAATTAAATAGTTTAATTTGACAGCAATGAAAGTATTGTTGTACATAAATATCAATTATGATGAACTAGTTTTAAAAATTTTAACTTTTGCGATAATATAACTTAAACTTAGAGGTATATTTTAGTAAGAGCCCAAATTAAGTCATGGATACTATTTCAAGTTAATTTAGTGTCTAAAAAGCCCCAGCTGAGGCAGTGCACGTAAATGCACTAACTTTAACAACTTTCCGGAGATAATTCACCCTATATTTAGTCACAGTTTAGCTATCCACAAGTTGTAGGACAGCCTGTATTACGCCAACATGGCCGCCAACTATAACACCTTGGAAGCCAACACTTAAAGCCACTTGTAAGCTAGTTGCTAACATGTTTCAAACTTCCACACTTATCTTGATATATCGCCAATAACCAACGTACATGGCCCAACTTGTTCCACCTATAAAATTAACATCAATTTGTATTTAGAACGTTAATATTCAAATGTTTTTTTTTTCGCAAATTAATGGCCGTATTTTCTTAGAAAGTTGCCGTACCGTCAGCTTTAGAGAGCCATAAATATTGCCTGGAACTTTCTGGAACAATTATTAAGTTTCTGTTTCGCAATGAAGTGTGAAATTGTTGGAAAAAAGAATATTGTTTGTATAGTTCAAATAATAGGGTAAGTAAGATATTTTATACGCTAGTTTTTTAAGGTAAAACCTACGAGGTACGATGAAAATATCATTATAACAACAGAATTTTCTCAAATGCATGAATACTTACATACAAAGACCTTAGTAACTTTTACGAGATGTCTATTCGTCTTCCAATATTTTGTAAATAAAGATAAAAGTGTAACAAAAGAAAGCATCAAAACAAACAATAGAATAGCTATAGTAACATCAAACTCTTTTCTTATAATTGGATATTACACATTTCTTTAAAAAAGTGCCCTTAAAAATAACAAAGAAATCGCAAATAGGATTATAAAAAGACCGTGATTAGCTGTATCCCAAACAGTAACAATACAGAAAAAACCCGATAAATATCAAAACAAAAATCGTAATAAGCTTCCCTTAAACCCGAAACAATCTCGAAACACGGAAAAAATTCCCGCGAAAAAAAAATTAACGTCAAAATAGCCGTGTCTTTTACGGAAAACGGGCACTGGAAACGAAATCTTTGTGCCTTTGTCTGTGGCAATTAGAGCCACAAAAATTTACCGATTATCCTTCATTAAGAGTTGTTACACTGGTTGCTTCGGTGTCTAGAATAACAATGCACGAAATAGTGCTGCACCTTTCCACGTCGTGAATTTTAATTCCAGTCGGTACATGCGAAGGCTGAATGCCGTACAATTCTTTGTTGCCTTTGCTTCTTGCTTTCTTTTAGCTTAGCTCCTTTCGTGATTTTATCTTATTGTTTGTGGCTGCTATTTCTGCCATGATTATGTGAATTTATTTTTGAGATGAAATGTATGTAGAGTTTTCTAATTAAACAGCTTTACGGAAATCTTTTTCCTGGTCTCTTTTGTTTATGAATTCTTCTACTGTGTCTTTAAAATGGGTAGTCCCTTAATCGGTTCTTTTTCTGACGCCCGAGAGAAAAGTCTTTGTGAAAATACTCACTGCTCACCATATTACCGTATCATACAAAGTTGAAAGCCAATAAACACTCCACTAAAATATCAACATCAAGAAACTACAACACAAAAGCTTTCTCAAAGAATTTCCTATAAAATACAAGCCTAACCTAAATGTGGAAACTGGCGATATTTACGGCACAAAATGTCCGATCGAACCCCCGGAAGAAATTTGACAGGCCTGAAAACTATCAGGAATGGAAGATAAGAGCTAAACACAAAGGGATTCGAAGGGCCGTGGACTTAACTGGGACTCTGACCCAGTAAAGAAATCTTCGACAGTGATATGAAGTGATTGAAGTGATTTTCGACTAATATCGTTTTTTATTCTATCTATTTATTCTAAATGATATTATTTTTGTAAATGTAAATGATAATAAATTATATTCAACATCTTATTGCTTAGAAGTTAAAAATCCAATATTCTCCACCCACAATTTCTTTTAGAACAGACAGTATAGCTGTGACCAGGTGCAGTGATTTCCCGACCATTACGAACGAACAAATTGTTCTATAAAATTGGAACCATTATTTACCACCTGCAGTTGTGATAAGCACAAGCATTAAAACTGTAGATTTCTTAGCCAATTACCGAGAATACTTTTCTAAGTCTATTCTCTTAGAAACTGTGTTAAGATGTGATTTTACTGATAAATGGTTTGAGTTCTTCAGTAGACAAATTGATTAGAATACATATTGGTTGGTGATTCAGCATAATATTCTCATGGAAACGAAAATCGAATAGAGAACTTTAACGGTATACTCTTGTTGACGTCCCAAAAAAAGTATATATTATCTATAACTAAAAACTTTATCATAGTGATTTTTTATGGTATAAAATGACGGTAAACGAGCAGACGGATAACCTGATGGTAAGCAATCGGCGTCGCCCATGGACATCCAAAACACCAGAGGCAATACAAGTGCGTTACCCGTCCTCTAGGGATTAGGAATTTGAGAACTGTTGGAGATTCAGTTATTAGAGAGATAGCGGGGAAGGGTAATTGGGCCTCCGGTAACCTCACTCACATGACGAAATATGACGCAAGCGTTGTTGCATGCCGGTTTTCTATGAGGCCGTGGTATTAGGCTATTTTTAACCACATTACTAATACAATAAAAAATGAACCAATGACAATAAAAAAAATCTTACAACTCTCTTATTAAACAAATGTTATTACTCTGTATCTGATTTTTTAGCTGATAAATTGTAACTGTGTCATAATAAAAAACTGACTGCACGATTGGTGCAGTGGCTGGGCAACCGGCTGCCGTGCAACGTGTCGCGGGTTCGATTCCCGCACGGAACAACACTTTGTGTGATCCACAAATTGTTGTTCCGGGTCTGGGTGTCATGTGTATGTGAACTTGTATGTTTGTAAACGCACCCACGACACAGGAGAAAATCCTAGTGTGGGGCAACGTTATTTTAAGAAAAAAAAAATATTTCTGATGATGAACTTGCATTAATGTTTGCATGCCACATTATTGTAATATCGCATTCTGAACAAATATATAATTATTCTATTCTATTCCGTCACTTAGCCGATATAAAAAGTTTTAACAGCCAATTAAAATTTTGTCTAATGTGGTTGCTGAACACAATTCGATGTTTCTCTCTTAAAGGTTTGATCTAGTAAGGCTTAATGAATTTTCTGGCTTTCCAAAAAGCTCCTATATAACTAACTGTACTAGCTTATCAATAATTCCTTATCCAATAAATCTACATCTGTGGCTTGAAACTGAGTTAATACTTTACATAATTCCAGAGAACCTTTATATATGTAGGTCGAAACCGACTAACAGGTTAGCAACGCAGTCCCAAAATTAATCTCCCGTAAACCCTTATTTAGCCCAAAAAGTTCAAAACTAACCTTGGCATTAAAATTATTCTAGTATAAATTACTTTGGGAGGAACCACTTCTATATTTTAGCATAAACACAGTTGAACCAACAAATATTTTGACTTAACTCGAAAGTTATTCTTCAGTATTTAATAACTGGGCTAGGAACTCTGTGATTCGAAATGTTGTAACTCTTGATGGACGATATTATACAGATAGTCTTCATGATTTGCTGCTTCATGCTTTAAAGGTTTAAGAGTCAAATAAGTTTGCTTTTAGATGAAAGTATGTATATAAATTGACTTGTTAATTAATATACGTACATATACTTCTAGTTTTTTATAACAAACAACATCTCGAACAGTCTAAAATTAATGTCTATCAGTTGTAACTTCTACCGCAGTAGACCTTTAAATTAGGAAACATCTTTATATTGAAACTGTTTTTATCAGTCAGGCCGTATGCTTCTTTAGCAATCTGAAGTAAGACCTACTTGAAGAGATATAAATCACCACATTCATCTGAAGTTAGTATATGGTCTTAGTGCTAATATAAGTCCTAAACTTTTCCTTCTTTTCCAGGTAGGCTGGCTAAGAGCAGAAGACCAGACAGTCCTCACGATGCACGACAGAGCTGTTCTAAGTGCACGGTACTCAGTACACATGGATGCTCCAAGGACTTGGCAGCTGAGGATCAGGCCTTTGAGGGCAGAGGACCGTGGCTGCTACATGTGTCAGATCAATACGCAGCCCAGCATGAAGTGGCAGATTGGGTGCATCGATGTTTATGGTAAGTGAAATAATTCTTCTTTTATGTGCGTCATATTAATGACTTTTGTATTCGAAAGTTACGATATCAAGTATGTTTATAAGCACGTATAATATCTACGAAATGGATTTTATTCAATTATTTTTATAGTTTTAGGTTAGTTTCGAGAAAGTGTTTCATAGTTTTCGACGTACTAATACAGGTGTATCTGTCTATTTTCATGGGAAATCTATTCAACTCGCCAAACTTCCACGTTACTACAATTTCATTGTACTGAGAAATGAAAGTTTTTGCCTAGAATAAGGTGAAATGCCAGGAATTTTGGCGGAATATCACAAAATCCATTTTAGGAACTTCTGTGTAATCCTATCTTATATTCTTGGTAAATGTTCAGACACCTACTTTGGTTACACATTAATTCATTTCGCCAATATTTTAGTAGGCTATCGATAAATTAGGATTTGTGTAGAACCCTGCTCAAATTATGAGACATTTTCATTCTCGAGAGAAGCTCGTGGCTACGTTACAGTTATTAAAATTAAAGTGTCGTAACAGGACTGTAGTTGATACTAGTTTTAAAAATCGACTATCGTTTTGTTTCGATTCATGCCTGACTATCACTGCAAGAACAAGAAAAATTGGAAAGGACAATTTTAGAAAAATGTCAGTTTCGGATGATCGGTGAAATCGGCCATAAGTCTGACAATTTTACCTCAATATTCCATGTTTGCTAGGTGTTGTGGATTATTTTTACTGCTTTTACTTCAGTTAGTCACTATAATGTGAATATAAGTAATAATATGTGTTGTCAATGACCATCGGATAATTGTTATAATTTACAAAAACAAAGAATAACCTAGATCTATTGGTGTTAAACTATTACCCAGAATAATATAAAATCTACCATTGTTAAACTGTTACCTATTTCTATCTAATGTAGTGAGATAAATTTCCAATCTAGATTCAGTTGGCTACCGCAGCTGAACGAGGGCTGACAACCCATTCGTCACCTGTCAACCTTTTGCTGTTGAGTCTCGGGCCTACGAATTTGCTTTTAATTTTATTTTATTGTAACTATTTATAGAAAGTGAATAAATTAACTAAAATCGCGGGTTACTCACGTGAATATACAGAAAGTTAATAATTAAGTTAAAGAAATTGAAACTTTAAGTTTGAAGAGTAAAGTTAAAGTTCGTTTATTTTTTGTTTATTCTTAGATTGTCTTTGAGATTTTGGCTTTTTGAATTGGTGTATCTTGTTGGGTAAATTAAATTATAAACTGTGTGAAAATTTGTTGGGTTAATTCCCAGATCAAAATTTCAGTTATAGAGTTTTAACCTGCCAGTTATTAGAACTAGTAACATGACTTTAACTGTGTTATTAAAACCTGCCTTTTATTAGAAACATCACTTTAACTGTGTTATCTTATCTTTTCCTCTAAGTGTGCGTCAACATATGGCAAATGCGCAACTCACGAGTCGTATGCGAGCTGCACGCGTGCATTTTAAATAATTCTTTATACGAACTTGCTATGCATTGAGCAAATGCCGGCAAAAAATTGCCGTGAATTGCTTGCGAGCGACTCGCGAGCTGCACATTTGCCATGTGTGGACGCACCCTTTCCTTCTTATTTGAATTACTGGCATGATCCTCTGCAGCTTACATTTCACCATATAAGAACACTAAAACATGACATTTAAAACCCGCAAACTAAACATTTCACCCCTAATTCCAGCATAGATCAACCAATTAACGCAAGGTTAACAACTTAAACGGGTCTTTTTATCTATTCTAAGTGACGGATAGGGAGCTTATCCAGTACGCGGCCGGTATTAGGCGGCGACCGTGCCTAAACCTACTTAATCCGACTAAGAATAGATTAGAAACGTCTTGAATATATAGGTCACTCAGTTTAAGTGACAGGTGTGGCTTCTTAAATAGCGTGTGGTGCAGTCCTGTACAAGGTGGGTTTTATTGGGATTATAGGTTCTTCGTGGGGTTAAATTACTGGTGGGTCAGTTTGGATATGTAAGTGGTTTTAAATGTCTTATACTGGGTGGTTTTTATTTATCTTATGTAAGTAACTTCTGCCGTATAATCGTATTTTACACTATTTTGTACACACAAATTTTAAAGTTAGATCCGGGTTTACAAGTGACATATTGTTTTATTCGATGGTTAAAGTTATATCTTTAAACGTACTCCATCGTAGCCCGCATCATCGCTTACCACCAGGTGAGATAGTGGTCAAACTTCGACCCATCAAATGTATAAACAATAACTTTTAAGTGGTATCGTATGGTAGATGAGGGTTATACCAAAAACGTTATAAAACATAACTATGTATTTAAAACATATATTCAAGTTCTACAGTTGCACACCTCCTTAGTCATACAATGTTTCAGTCTGTCAGTTAGATAGGAATGTTTCTATGTAGGGACACATAACTATCACAGTCGGGTAGAACTGACATAAAAACACTACATGCTTTTAAGGTGGTTATGCAATACCGACGAGCATGCATAAAAAGACAGATGACTATTGATGAAGCGAAAGAGGTATGTAAGAATCGTAGCGATTCATAGTCGACATTCCTCATAGTCTCCACCTACCCCCATGAGAGACAGGCATGTATGTAAACAATACCACAAGTCCGAAATTCAATTTAAATCAACAAACATTTCCGTAAACAAAACATAAGTAAATTATAAACTAATTGTGACCCTGAACTAAATAAATGATAAGTATCTACAATTATTTATTCGTCATAATTATTTACACTTACACTGTTAGGACACTAAACCTTGACAATGTAATATAACTGAGGAAATAATATTTTACTTCCGAAAGACAATTTCATATTGGTCTCGTAAAACTCTTATTCTTCTGGAAATTCTCCATCATTTATAATTTAATAAATGATTGAATGGCTAACGAAAAGCATCAGGCTAGAAAATTTTCGCCAAAAGTAAACAATATAGGTTTAAAAAAATATTTACTATAAATAACAAATAAAAAAGCGTTCCACATTTACACAGGTCCAATTTACGAACTCTATTCTGATCACAACCAGAAAAATATTACATCCGACCTTTTTCAAATCGTGACACTAGGTCAACACATTATAATAGTGGCGGCCATATTAAAATTATAATAGTCTACGGAAATCAGAATCCGCCCGTGTGGTGCGGCCCTCTGCCAGCGATCGATCACCTTGGACTTACATGTCCCAGAAACTGGAAATGGAATAAAATGGGCGCGGCCATGTTGGTATCGCTAAGCACTATACACTTTTATGTGATGTAGCTTAATGGAATAAAGTGGTGTAAAACGTCTAGTAGGAACCCTGTGTGTATAGTAATGGAGATATTGTTAATACTGGGTCGATTAGTATGAGTTTTGGGACATACGTATGTTCAGCTTACTATTTAACTTTTTGGGTTTAAGATAATGTATAATTTGCGCGATGTCTGTCATTACCCAAACAGATAGGATCAATATAAGAAACCACTAACGTTCAGATTGATAATTATCAAAATCTTATGATGTCAATACCCCTTCAGGAATAAAAAGTGTGATGATAATCTAAATCCAAAATCTATAATGTCAATCAACCCAATCACAACCAGCCAACGATACAGTTCACACATTACCAATATATGCATTTAATCACCATCTCACACACTTTATCACTCCAAAAAACATTGAAACAACAGACCACACAAATTCCCAACATCTTATTGAAATAATATTTCATTACTCAAGTTTTTGTCTAATTTATGGCGGAATTTCCAAGGAGACCGGTCAGAGTTTAGCAATTTCGTGTTCGCCCCCAGTATTTGCATGCCTCGGTTGGGATTTCTTTTTCAATTTCGTACTTGTTCGCGACTTTATTGGACCTCCGTGTCACTTGGGTCGACAAGGCGGTAACGAATGGTAAACGTTCGATTCCTGAGGCACGGCGAGATTAAATTTCGGTGTTGTCGATTTGTGTTCTTTTGTTTTTGGAACTTATTACTATGGGGCTTTTTTGTTAGAGAAAACTATTGATTTTCAGGCACCTCTATCCTTGACAATAACAAACCTGTCTCTGTGTGTGTGCAATGTAAAGGAGGCCGGTATTCCTGTACTGTATAGACACGAACCTAAGTTATTTTTTTTAAATATCTCTAATCTCAAATATCATCGAATGAGGTTGAAATGTGAAGGATGTTGTAATAGTACTATGATACCAAACAGGGTCTATTAGCACCAATAAAAAAAAGTACAACTCCATACTTTCCTCTCAAACATGTCATGTCATGAGTTTGACCATCAACAATATTCACTCCAAGGATTACCTAAAAAGCGGTGTAGGTATTATTTTGAACCATTCCACCTTAATGTTGGCCATCCAAGTTAATGGTACGAATATTTTTATCCAGTTCATGGTCTCCATTTATGACTGTTGACGATGGACAAAATTAAATGAATGAAAAACTGTCATTTGTTTTGCACCGACTGATTTTTGTTTAACTTTATCCCGAAAAAGGTTTCTATCACACTAATATTTGTGAAAGTAAAGTTTCTTTCTCTGGATGTTTTGATGTTTGGCCGTCAATCACGCTGAAACTACTGTAAGGATTTTGATGAAATTTGGTCATATGTAGTATTAGCTGACTTAGGTGATAGGATACTTTTTATCCCGATTAAATGCTCTTAAGGGATAAAATAGGAATACGCGTGCAAAGCTGCAGGTAAAAGCTAGTTGACTATATTTACATAAGATACCAGCCTTATAGGCATTGGGATAGTTGGGGATTCGGCGATTGGGGAGATTGGGTAGTGGGGAATTGGGATTAAAACCTCACCCACACGACAAAACACAACGCACGCGTTGTTTCACGTCGATTTTCTGTGAGGCCGTGGTATCACTCCAATTGAGCCCATTCGTACCGAAGCATGGCTCTCCAACATTTAGATTTGATTATACAAAATTATATTACCTGTGCTACACTGACATTTACAAAAGTGAGAACGAA